CCAGGTTCGGGATTTGAGCCACAGTCAGCCACGTGGGAGACCAGTGCCTTAACCATCACGCCAATACCATCGAATGTTAACATTCTGATTTGGTTGAAAAATGTGCAGCACAGCAATATTCTGTTCTTTGGAGGAACCTGTACTATTTAATTATAGTAGAACTTGGCATTTGCATATTTGACATCTGTGGCTTTCACTATTCCCAGAGACCCCGAAGGTCCGTGAGTTGCAATAATCTGTTATTTTGCAGAGGCGTGCTGTGAGCCTGGGATATAGGCAGCTACTTGTTTAATGACTGAAATTAGTGTGTGGGCAGAACCTATATCTCCATGAAATTTTGTTATTGTATGCTGTTCTTAAAGGCCATAATTCTCATCAAGTACTGTAGTGATTGTTACAAAGGTGAGGATTCTTCTAGAGCATGAAGACATCAATAGTATCCCTCCCAAATGTCAAGGGTTTATCATAAAGTAGGTGTAAATTAATCATGTAACTATCCCACTTCACCCCCATCATTAGTACATCCTTAATAAGGTTAACTTAGAGATTTCAGTAGTCACACACATAGCAAGAAGCTCTCATTCCTCTTTTATTGAATTTATCAACCATACCACTTCTTGTATGTTTGTATGTGTATGTTTTAGTTTATTTATGCTTCTACAAGTGAGAGAGGCACAAAAAGAGAGAGAGAGACCACTCCCAATGGGGTCTTTTATTTTTGGAGAGGTTTTTGCTATAGAGTGTGTGCGCTCGCCAGACAAGAGAGACAGAAAGCGAGAAATCACCCCCCGGGGGAATGGCCACGCCGCAATCCCTTCTCCTCCGTTCTCCTCCTGGATCTTGGGCATGCATGCACACGCGCCTGGCGTGAGTTTTAAGTCAACAGGTCCGGGACGCAAACTACGGTCGACTACATGGGAGCCCAGCGACATAGCCATTACGCTAACTGCTGGTCCGAATGGGGTCTTGATGCCATGATACACCCAGCTCCAACCTGCCCCAGATCATGGGCATGCACATGTCCAGAATACCCAGGGACATCTCTGGATACAAACCCAGAACCCTTCCATATGGGACAGCCTTGTGGAGCATCATATTTTACTACTGCACCACCAACCAACCCCTCCCATGTGTTTTGATTTGTCTATATACCTTGATTCTTTCCACCTGAGAGCAAGATCCTTGGCAGCTAAATACCAGCTTGTCATATTCATATATGTATTACCAGCACTTAGCAATGTACCTGGTACATAGCAAATATTTAATGTTTGTTGAATGACTGAGCACTTTCTACAAGCAGGTACTGTGCTAAAGGTGCATTTTTTTTTCATGTTCATATTTAGTACTTATTACTCCCTTGCAGGATGGATGTCATTATTTCTTTCATTACAGCAAGAAAATCGGGGATTCAGAAAAGTGAAGTCACATATTCAGTTACACAGCTGATGAGCAATGGATTGACATCTATCTGTGAGATTCCAAAGTTCATGATTTTCCATCTCACCATGCTGCTAAGGACATCTTTACAAAGTAAACCATATAACCAAACACATGAATTCATGAACCAATATTATTGCTACAACACAGGGCTGGCTTCAACCTGATTAGATTTAGAGGAGTATGGTGCAGACAAAATTCACAATACTACCAGGCTTGGTGGGCAATAGTATAGCTACAAAAGAGGAAGGGATTCAAAAGTGGGATTATTCAAAGCACCACACAGCTTCGGTCCAAGTATTCTGAAAGTTTCATTTTCAGTTTCCAGATCAGTATTGCAATTATTAGTAGGGTCTCAGGATAAGAACAAGGTTCTTGCTAAGTTGGAGTACAAAGCTGTAACTGGAAAACAAGCATTCATGATTCAATTAAGCAAGTCATTTGAAAAGATATTTTCTTTGCTAGATCTTATCATTTGGTCAAGGGTTTCAGAGTCTTTCAGCTCTAAACTGAGACCAGCAACATCAGGAGCTTGTTAGAAATGCAGAATCTAAAGTTCTACCCCAGATCTTCGAAATCATAATCTGCATTAGAGCAAGATCCCTGAGTGATCTTGATAAGCACATTAAAAATTAAGAAGCAATGCTCTAAGGATATTCTAAGATTCATTCTGGCTCTATTGTTTTTTGAGTTTAGGTTAGGACTCTTCATGGTAACCGAAAACCTGGCATGTTTTCAGAGATAGCCAAGTAATCTGATCATCTCATTGGTATCTTCTGGAGAATATCATTGGTCCCTAAATATTACTATTAAGGGCCTTGTTAATAAAGCACTTACCAGGTACCACATAGTTTGCACATAGTTAAATCATCGTAATAACCCTGTGAGGAAGATAGTATCCCCATTTTACCAATGAGGAAAAAATCTCAAAGGTTAGTAAAACTGCCCTAACCCACGTGGATTAATCAGTAGCAGAGAAAGAAATCTAGCCTAGAATACTTTGAGCCCATGGTTTCCAGCTACACAATACTGCTTCTGTCATAAAATTGCAATTTAAAGTATGAAGGGTAGGGCTGCAATGTGAGGATAAATTAGCAGATTTTAGTCTCATTATTCTTTGATGAAGACCAAAAGGACAGACTATGCTGAATTTCTAAAAAATAATGCAATGGAAAAGAGGGGAACATAGATTTGTTCACCAAATCCTAGAATATCTGAACCAGAATCTCAAACTTCTGGAGGTTGTATCACCCAGAAGTCCTCATCCACAAGACTCATTTACATCAAGATACACAAACTGAAAACACAACTGAGAAATGTTCAGCCATATTCACAGACTGTAGGTATAAAACAGATTATTAAGAGAATGACAAAACTGAAGGCCAAGGCTCTAACCTCTCAAAAACTACCTTCTGTGTCTTTGGTAGACAGGGTACTGAATTGGCAGACCCGTGGTCTTGGTGTCATTGAATGCTTGACAATAAATAACCTCTTACATACTGACATTGCCATTACTGTGTAAAATTTCACAGAGTTTGTCTTTCCTGTTTGACTGCCCTTCATTTGTATGTATAAACGTTCTCCCCAGAGCACATATAAATGGATAGTATTCTCTGGAAGGCACCGTTTTTTCCTTACGCTAACAAATGATTATCCTTCCCAGCAAAATGACTAAACAGAGTGCTAATAAATCAATTTGTCAATGGCTATTTCCCTTCAGCAGAATATATACCCTGTTCCATTTTTTGGTGAGTGCAGATATGACCTACACAGACTGCCTGTGTCTATGGTTCAGAAAATCTTAGAATGGAAGGAACTGGAAAAAGATCTGACCCTACCTCCAGGCAAGGAAACTATATCTTTATCCCCACTTTGCATATGAGAGAGTTCAGTTCCAAGCCACTAAGTGACTTGCCCAAAGTCACATTATTAGGAAAGGACTGAATAAGAAATGAGGCAGAGTTTCTTGAGTCATTTCATTCTCGGCAGAACCCAATCCTTATTGAGCTCTGTCCCCTGGCTGAATCTGTGAAGAAGCACATCTATGACACCTCTCCCTAGGTTCTATGGAGCCCCTCTATTCCATAAGTTCCTCCTCTCCCTCTTCTAGAAGTTAGATGGTTTCCTTTCTCACTGAAGTATAGCTGGCAAGTTCCTGAGGACTCTCACATCATCCCTCTTCTATACACCCCTTCCATTCTCCACATTATCTCCTGCTACTGCTTATTGTTTGTGGACATTTCAGAGTCAGGACCCCCTTTCTCATTCCCATCCTCTTAGGGCATTCTGGGAAGTCTACCCTCTCATAAGCTACCGGTCCTGGGGAAAGCCATTCTGCGTTCTTGCTTAAAGCTATTCATCTGGGAGAAAAAAAGATAATACTCAATCTGCAAGAGACTTAGGGTTATCAAGGCAATAGAAGTGCAATGTCCAGTTTATTAAGGACTCAGTGGAGCAATAACACAAGAATTATTTCAGGAGAGTTCTGGACTATGAATAGAGATGATCACACAGAAGATATAGTTTTTCCCACAGAATTTTTAAGAGGCTTCTCCTTCACTGCCTAGCCAGATTTTAGCATATAGACCTGTGACTAAAGACAGGCGACTGCTGCTCTCAGAGCTCTGCTTCTTCAAGATATCTCCAGCACCGGGAACCAGCAGTTAGCGTAATGGGTATGTCACTGGACTCCCATGTAGTCGACCGCGGTTCGCGTCCCAGACCTGGTAGCTTAAAATTCATGCCGGGCGCATGTGCATGCCTTCCCGAGAGGAGAATGGAGGAGAAGGGATTGCGGTGTGACCATCTCCCCTGGGGGGTGATTTCTCGCTTTCTGTCTCTATGTCTCTCTCTGTCTGGCTGGCGAGCGCACGCACCCTATAGCGAAAACCTCTCCAAAAAAAAAAGATATCTCCAGCACCCAAACTGTACTGATTCAGCTCAACTAAGCTGAGCAAGCCTCACACCATTAAATAGCCAGTGGGTATTTAAAGGGATTGCCAAATTTCAATCAATTTTGCAATCTCTAAACTGAAGAAGTGGTGCCTTCAATCTGGCTACGCAATATAATTACAATGTGGTTCTTGGAGGGGAAAGCCAAAGCCATTTGTGTTCCAGAGAGTATTCTGACTGGGTTATTGCTGTCCCAGAATGATAAGGATGAGGACAGCTTCAAAGATTGGTTGAGAAGGGGAGGAAGGAAAAAACGAAGCAGTTTCCCAGCTCCTCCTTAGACACAAGAATTCTCCAAAATCTGATATCACAAAAACTCTGTCATTCTACACCTCAGCCAGCCATCATTTTGAGTCTCAGTGGACAAAATGTTCTGTGTTCTTAGATCCTGCTACAGGATTCCTTGCCCAGAAACAGTTTAAAATAAGAAAACTGGGAGTTTGAAAGCAGAACCTGTCCAGTAGCATCTGAAGATCCAACATACCTGTTTTGAGACCAAAGTTTGACATTAATACAAAAACTGGAAGAGTTTTCAAGAGTGGTACAGAAGGATAGAAAGAAACGGCAAAGAACAGGGTGCAGGAGGGGTAGAATACAGAAAGGTTACTTACACAGTTTCATCATTCTTGAACTCCAGCTCCCCGTATGTATCTTCAAAGTCCTCACCACCACCCTTGGCTGTCCCTTCTACTGTCCTAAAGGGAACGATGACTGTGCCCCGAGCACCTGATGTCCGTAGGACCTTGACCTCCATAACACCAATACTCTCACTGACGTGAATAGTATCACATTCAAAAGTGAAGATGCCTGCATGATCATCATCCAAGATAGTAACTGTGGCCACACAAGGGGATGCTAGGACAGCTCGAGGCAAGGGAAGATTGTTGAGTATTATTGGAGGCATCCCCTCCTCTGGCTGCTCTTCTTCTATACGGACATTACTCAACCTCACAAAGAAGTGTTCATCCTCCTCAAAAATGTCATCATCAATGATGCCCACGGAGAACTCCTTCTGGGTCTCTCCTGGCTTCAGTACCACAGTGCCCTCTGTGAACTCATAGTCAGCCCCTGCATTGGCAGAACCATCCTCTGTTTTGTAGTCCACATACATGGTCTTGGACATATCTCCCCCTTTCCTCACCACTGTCAGGAGTACAGCTCCACAGTTCTCCAGGCACTGGTAAGAACAAGGGTCAAAGAAGACCTTGGAGATGAAGTCCTCAGGCTCATCAGTGTGCACCTCGCTCATGCTAGAGGACTTCTTGGCTTGTTCTGCTGCATGCTTCTTCAGTATGTTGCCTGCACCAGTCATCATACGGGTGGCTTGGATCCGGTAGAAGGCGCGGCTCTTCTGTTGGTGGGAAAGAGCATAGTAATTGGCCATCTCTACCAGCTGATCTAAGTCCTTCTCTGGGTGTTTCTGCTTCAGATCCTTGAGAATTCGGATCATCTCCCTGCGAGACTCATCCACTTCTTTCCCTTCCAGGGGTACCAAGTTCCCATCTAGAAAATGGGAATTCATCATTTTCCCATCCATCTCAATGCCCTTAGGATGGTCACCCTCTGTCTCTATGATAATTCCACGGTGTTTATCTGTACGGTACTTTTTGTGCATGTATTTGTAGAAGAGCAGTCGTTTATCTGCCACCCAGGCCAGAAGGACACACACTGGAAAGAAGAAGAGAGTGAGGAGGCCTTCCCAAACCTGGACCACACCAGGAGAGAAGACTGCCAGGATCATATAGAGCCAGATGTAGGCAAAGATACTCCAAGCAGCAGTGACGAAGAAGACTCGTAGGTGCTTGATCTTGCGAGTCTCTCCATCAGGAATCACGTAGACACAGATGCCAATGATGATGAACATATTGAAGGCTGCACTGCCTACTATGGTAGAAGGTCCCAGATCACCAGCAATGAACCCATGACCACACACCTCAATTAAAGAGAGGAGGATCTCAGGAGCAGAGGAACCCAGGGCCATAAGGGTCAGGTTGGAGACAGTCTCATTCCAGACCCGAATCGTGGTTGTGCTGGTTTCTCCATTGGGCTTTTTGATAGTAACCTCCCTCTCTTGAGAGGTGATGACTTCAATAGATGCCATGAAGCGGTCAGCAATGATAGAAACCCCAAGGAACATGTATATTAGGGCCACAAAATAGACAATGACCCTGGCAATCTTGTCCCCAAGGGAAGGGTTCTCTGGGTACCAGATTGGTAGGATGACACCCTCCTTGCAATCCGATGACCCTGAACAGGATTCATTGTTCTGCCCTGTGCTGGGCACATCTCCTGAGCCACCAGCCTCTGCCCGAAGACCATTCAGGAAGAGCACAAAAGTAACCAGCCCAAAATGGAGGAAGGCAGAGGTAAGAGGCTGCAACCGTAACCACGCCATACACAAGACTTAGCCGCTGGCTTCTACTGCAGCACCAATGGTCCTCCTGACAGGCCAGAGACCTAGAAAAGATCAGAGAGGCAAGAAAAGGCATGAGGAAAAGGAGGACATCAAATAGCAGTTCCCCCCAATACAAACTGATGCTTCATGTCAAGTGGCATATTGCACTAACATATGGGGCAGTCTCTCACTTGGAAAAATAGATGTCAATGGGACGCACAAATCGCTGCTCTGTCCTCAAAACCATCTGGTAGGGACTCAGTTGAAGAATAGCTTGAAATAGATGGGAATATTGGTCATAAAAAAAGTAAGTGATACCTGCAAATGTTCCTAAGAACTAACTTAAAATATGAGGCCACATATGACCTGAATCTTTATTCCCACTTAAACAGTTTCTAAGTTTTTCAGCCTTCCTTACCCCACTGTCACCATACCTCAAGTATCAGACATAATACAGGATTGCAAGAGAGTCCACTGAATTGAATTTTCATAGGCTCGTCCCCCTAGAATAGAATACCTTGCTCGGTGTGTAATTGAGCCTGCTTGGGAAACACATGCTTCCCCAAAGTTGCAAAACTTCTGGAGGCAAGTAAAAATAAATAAATAAATAAATAAATAAATAAATAATCTTGAGACTGTAGAAAGGGGAATGCTTTTACACTGTTGGTGGGAATGTGAATTAGTGCAGATATTAAGGGAACAGTATGGAGGAGCCTCAAAAAACTAAAAACAGAACTGTATGATCCGTCAATCCCACTACTAGGCATTTATCTGAAGGAAAGGAACTCAGCATGTCATAAAGATATATGCTTCCCATTGTTTACTGCAACACTGTTCACAAGAGCAGAGATACAGAATCAACCTAAGAGTTCATCAACAGATGAATAAAAAAATTGTGGGATATATGGAATACTATTCAGTCTTTAAAATGAAGAAATCCTGTTATTTGAGGCAACTCGAAAGTCTGGAGGACATTAAGTGAAATAAGCAAGGCACAGAATGAGAAATAAATACTGCATGTTCTCACTCATACGTGGAAACCAAAAAAGATGACCTTTTTAAGGCCAGTCAGTGGTGTGGAGGTTAAGGCACTGACACCACATGGCCAGCTTCGCAGAATCACACTGGGAGAGTATGCATGCCCCAAATCCCAAGAGGAGAATAAAAAAGAGATTACAGGATGGCCATCCCCCGATGCTTTTTCACTTTCCCTCTTTGCTCTCTCTCTCTGTTCTTTGGCAAGTGCATGCATCCTATAGCAATAAATAAGCAAACAAACAAACAAACAAAAGATGACTTGGTAGACATTAGAAGAGTAACTACTAAAGGCTAGAAAGCGGAAAGGGAATGGGGGAGATAGAAATACGTTGGTTAACAGAAATAAAATTACAGATAAGGGGAGCAAGTTCTGGTGTTTAAAGTACAGTAGAGTAATTATAGTTAACAGCAATTTACTGTGTATCTCTGAGTAGCTAAACAAGAGGTTTTCAAATGTTTCCCACACAAAGTAGTGATGGATGACTGAGATGTTGGATATGCTAATTACCCTGATTTGATCATTATACAGTGTATACTTGTACTAAAAAAATCACGTTGTGCCACATAAATATGTACAATGATTACATGTAAATAAAAATAAATTATTTAAAAGATAATTTTTTTTAAAATCAGGGTATCTACCCAAAGGATAGAAAGATATTCAGTTGGAGAAACACTTGCACATTCATATTTATTGCAGCATTATTCACAATAGCTAAGACATGGAACCAACCCAAATGTCCATGAACAGACAAATAGATTGAAAAAAACGTGCATGTGTGTGCGTGCCCAAGATCCTGAGAGGAAAATGGAGGAGAAGGGATGGCAGCATGGCCATCCCCCCAGGGAGTGATTTCTCGCTTTCTGTTTCTCTGTCTCTTTCTGTCTTTCTGGCGAGTGCATGCACCCTATAACAAATACCTCTTCAAAAAGGAAAAAAGAAGAAAGAAAAAGTGCGGCACATATACATTACAGAATACTACTCTGCCATAAAAAATAAATAAATAAAAAATAAAAACACTGAGACGCAGGCATCTGATAGAAAGTGGATGAACATGGAAAATATACTGCTAAGTCAAGCAATCCAGACAATGAAAGAGAGGCATGGTATGTCCCCACTTAATATATACCAAATGTCTCTCTCTATGGCAGAAACTGAAATAATAGAAAGTATAAAGACATGGAAAGTAACTGTGGATACTAGAGACAGTGTGGGAAATGGCAAAGGATGAGAAGAAGGGAATCAAGGAGGATAAAAAAGAAGCAAAACATATAAAAGACAAAAAATCGGAAAATCATCTGTTGAATATGTATGGTAATATCTTTGATTGAACCAATATACAATTTATTCTGGATGAGAAAATTCATTTTGTATACTGCAATGCTATGCAGTGAATGATTGTAAAATAAATAAATTTCAATTGTTTTAAAAAGTTAAGCATTCTACTCTATTTAAAATCTTTCAGTAGTGGGAACCAGCAGTTAGCGTAATGGCTACGTCGCTGGACTCCCACGTAGTCGACCGCAGTTTGTGTCCCGGACCCAGCAGCTTAAAACTCACGCCGGGTGCATGTGTGTGCGTGCCCAAGATCCTGAGAGGAGAAGGGAAAAGGGATTGAGGCGTGGCCATTCCCCCTGGGAGGTGATTTCTCGCTTTCTGTCTCTATGTCTCTCTCTGTCAGTCTGGCGAGCGCACGCGCCCTGTAGCAAAAACCTCTCCAAAAAAAAAAAAAATCTTTCAGTAATTTGTTCTTGCGCTTGATGTAAAAAACAGATTCTTTAACTATGACCTGCAAAGCCCTGCATGAACTAACAGCTTCCTTCTCTTGCCCCTTCATCCTGTCACTTACAGATTTCAACAGTGGCTTTTTCCACTCCTGGATTACACGAACTTACTGTGTACTCAGGACCTTTGCACATGCCATCATTCATGCTGAAACAAATGTTTCTTCTTTGTATCCCCACTCTTAATAGCACTTTAAGGGGCCAGCAGTTGGTGTGGTGGTTAAGGCACTGGACCCCCATATGGCTGACTGTGGTTCAAGTCCCAGACCTTGTAGCTTGCTTTCTCACTTTCTCTCTTTCTCTCTGTCTCTCTCTTGCGCATGTGCCCTATAGAAAATTTTGAAATAATAATAAAAAATAAAATTAAATAATCATTTTTCAAAAATAACACTTTAATTTCAGCTTAAGTACCACTTCCTCAGAAAAACTTTCCCTCATCCTAAAAATGGTCAACTGTGTTTGTCATGTCCTCTCATCGTATGCTTGATTTTCTTCCATGGCATTTTAAAACTTTGAGATTATGCATTCGTTAGTGAGTTAGGTGATTCATATATAACTCATCCATTAAACTGTACATAACATAAGAACAAAACTGCATCTCTTCTGCTTATCGTGATATCTTAAATAGTTAATAGGTGCACAGTAAGTGTATTTTTTTTTAATTGAAGCTTCATTAAACATCAGCTGTTTTGGGGACCAGCAGTTGGCGTAATGGCTATGTTGCTGGGATCCCATGTGGTCGACGAGTCCGGGCCCAAGGGAGATTTAAAAAAAAAAAAAAAAAAGGCTGATTTTTTTTTTTTTTTTGAGGGGGGAGAGGTTTTTGCTATAGAACGCATGCACTCGCCAGAAAGACAGAGAGAGACAGAGAGACAGAAAGTGAGAAATCATCCCCCCAGGGGGGGATGGTCAAGCTGAAATCCCCTCTCTGGATTTTGGGCACACCCAGCGTGGGTTCAAACCACCGGGTCCAGGACTAAAAGCACGGTCGACCACATGGGAGTTCAGTGACATAGCCATTATGCCAACTTCTGGTCCCAAAATCAGCCATTTTTAAAGCTATTTAATTATCTCAATTGTAGCCATTTTCTTTGAATATATATATATGTATTACATATGTATATGTACATATATGTATTATATATATTCTCAAAGAAAATGTGTATACACACACACACACACACACACAGGTAAATAGAGAGAGAGACACACACACACACACACACACACAGACAAATCATGACTGGGTTTCAGAGGCTATGTAGGACCTCATTAAATTCTCAAAGCTGTACTCAAAAGTGAAATTCCCCTCAGGACACAGTACGTCAGGTGCACACTGTAAAGAGGGCATTCCTCCCAATGGGCTCCATGAATTAACTCAGTTTCATATTCCCCAGAATGGCAGCTGAGGGCTGAGGTCCATATTTCCTAACAGTCCAGGTAACTGGGGGTATTCACAACAGGCCCTTGGGGTCTCTGCCTTTGCCCTCACTAAGGGGATGCCTTCAGAAGGATAGGTTGTTAAAGGCGTCCAGCATTCTTCTTCAAAGGCTGGGAAAGCTTTGGTAATCTGTGCAGAGACCCCATTTGCAGGTCTGACACTCACTCAACATGGAGAAATGTGGACAGTGAAGGAATTTGTCTCCTTGATTTGACCTCTATAACCGTGATACTTGTGAATTCTGATAACTCCCATGCAGGGGAGACAAAAGGTCGACACAGCTGGAGAAGCTCTTTAATCAAGAGCCAACACGATGACCAGAGGTGGCAACTGTGTGCACTGGCCAACCATCATGAGTAGGGTATCAGCAGGTGAAGGAAGGAAACTGGCCTTCTGTGGAAAGGTGACTTGGAAGACTGGGGGAGCAGACTTGGCGGGCGGGGGCTTGGACTCCTATTATCTTATACCCGGGGAGAATTAGGAAGATCACAGGCTTTGTAATCCTCTGGCTTTGCAAACATCTTGTAGCCATATGTTTTTATGAAAAATACGTTATCACATGGTGAGAATTAGAGGTCAGTTAGAAATACTGTTCCCTGACAAGACAAATGAACTGAAGGAAACAACGAAAGAAATGAGACAAGAACATGAAGTGGCTAGTAGATGCCTGCCGTTGGCTTTTGGAATAGAAGGTGGAAAATGCCTTATTAATCTCCAATTGCTCTTCCCAGCCTTGCCAGGAAATGGTTTC